AAATCAACGTCTCAGATACATGATAGATGAATTACAATAACAAGGAAGTGAAACTGATTCTGCTGTTTTTTATCCACTACTTCATGACGAATGAAATACGTAACCTGTTTGAGTCTGAAAGCCACATCTACACAAAAACCACAAACACTTACGTATATTCTATCATTGCTGGGATGTTGGGGCGAGGACTAAGCAACAAATAAAAGGAAGTATAACAGAAACTAAACAGATCACTTCTATCCTCAGCCAACCAGTAAGTATGACTATTTATTTTTATTTGGCTTTTAGTAGGCAGGGATTCAGAAAGCTCTGACCAGTGATTTTCATTCCTTTTTGAAAGGAATCAAATTTTTAGTTCATGACTAACAAACTAAAAAAACAATTTCATTTCATTTAAGTCTACTCTGACAGAACAGTTGTATTGGTGTACCAAATAAAAAGACCACTCAGTGTATAATTATCATGTTAATTATGTGTCTCAGTTATGACAGAAAGTTACCCTGATGGAATCTATGAGTATAATAATATTAACAATGAAAATGTTTCATGAGTAAAATAGATTGTTATACATTTTCTTTGTCTGTGTTTCCAGTGTACCTCCTGATATGTTTTATAGTGTTTCCTGTCTTTGGGGTCTTTGCTGGTATGTAGTGAACAGTTAATATACTAAAATATATTAATTGTCACAAATATTACACAGTGCAGCTTTGTACTCGTATATTTTTTATTTTACGATTGTCTTGCATGGAAGCTGAAATTACTTTTACACAGTGTTGGCTGAAAACTGCTTCTTTTTTTTCTTTTTTCATACATTATAGGAGCTCAACCTGGAGATGAAAAGAGTAAGTTAAGACATTTTGTAAAAGCCTTGATTTTCAAATAACATCACTGCAAGAATGTTTTTGGCACTTTTCCCTCAAAATATAATTTCAACACATTTACATCTGAACTCTTAAGATAAGGTTAGACGACTTTTTTTAATCCTGAAGGAAATTCTTGTGCCACTTAAGTGAAAAATATTAAAAATGAAATATAAATATAAAGTCTATACAGACTAGTAGTGCAGAACAAGTGCCTGATAGTGAATACCAATAGAAATGAGAAGAAAATAAGAAGAAACAGGGAAACTTATACTAAACAAGTGGTAAGTAAGAAGTAGATACAAGTGAATAATACTGTATGTGATATTGCACATGATATTGAAATAGTATAATGATGAAAACATATGACACATACTGCACTTGAGCTTATTTGCTACTCATCAATCTTCTCCTCTTCTTTGACCACAGTTCAGTGCTTTACCTGCCTGGACAAGGAGCAGTGCTCCAAGTTGATGACCATATATCAGAGTAATGACAAGAACCTGTACTCCAGAGACGATCAAACAGTCCCAGAATGCAATGCAATCTCCCCACCCCCTCCTATGAAATGCTCTGTGTGCCACGCCCAAACTACGGTCGGAATCATTTGCTCAGGGGATGTGGGAGAACTGGAGGTGGAGTCCAGTGATGGAGTCCAGATTTCAGACATCTCCCCTGGCTGTGAGTATGACATGAATAAATGGAACACGAAGCTCTGCAGTTTCTGGTCAGATCGAGGTTGACATTTAAGTGGCAGTAATTTTACACCAGCTCATTTCTCAACATATAGCCAGATCAACATCGGTATCTTCATATTTGATCCACTTAAAAAGAGAATATGTTAATAAACAACAAACATACATCAAATACGATCATTCAAACTTTGACTCCATTTCTCTCTACTGAGTACCCCCCATATTTTATAGTCCGTCAAAAGCAACTTCAACCAAACACCGTTCTGGTGTTATTGTGCAACCACTTCTGACTGCTCTATGTTTTAGTCATCTGAAGGGTTAGTGGGTTTTCTAACGTGATATTTTCATCCCACGCGTATTTCACTTCTCCAATTGTAGTAGGTGCAGTTGCTGTTGTAGACGATGCATTTTAATACCATGAGTGAAGTTTATATGTACAGAATGAAATGGAGTAATGCCTGAGTCATTGCCTTTATGAAAACTATATCTACCATAACATACTTGAAAGTGTCATCATCATGGCCGTCAAAGCCATGCCTATGTCATTAGCGGCTATTTAGTTACGTCAAACTAGCTATTCCTCCTTAAATTGAAAGAACAAGTTAACTTCTCTTTTTCTGATGCTCTTTGAATTTCTCCAGGTTCCTTCACGTTTCCCAGTGAAGACCCGCAGTCCAGCAGCCATCCAGGATTCATTACCAACAGTGGTATGTTTTTAACTCACTGAAGGTCAATTTAACAAAGGCGTCGCTAGTAATGGCTTTAAAATCTAGTTAACTTGCCAGAGGCCATATTGTTTTTCCTTGATTAACCTGACAGAAATCTTTTTTCATTTGGCAGATCTCTTTTTGATTGGGCTCGGAGTGCTTTTGACACAGTGTGTTTAAATCCTTCAGTCCTTTGAATCATTCTTTCTTTTAATGCTTCTTAAAATTGAGGTAATTTCATTTCTTTAATGACTGCATACATCTTTCTCATTTCTGTTTCCACAGTTGAATAAACAGTTTTTGGCACAACATTATTCAATTATTGACAGTTACAGATTACAGGATATCTAACTTCATCTTAGCTGTAAAATATTAGTTTTAAATATCAATTCCAAAAATACAGGAGTGGGCTCATGGTCCTTCTCATGGGCTTTGAATGTTTTCAGTTGAGTAGGTTTACGTGTGACTCTTTCTTTTGAAACAGGATTTAAAATATCCAACAGCGATGAACTTTGGGATCCAAAAGAAGGCACGTACATTACGTATGTTGTTGTTGTTGTAATACATTTGCTGTCAACAGACTGAGGTTCTGTCATTATTCATAAGATTGATAGTGCATCTGGCAATAGCAACAGTAAAAGGTATAATATTCATTCTGCTCTATACTTTGTATCATTGCATTACATTTAGGCATGCATAAATGTGCAGGCATAATTTTAACCACTAACTGCTGCTACCGCTGGGAAATACATACCCCCCCCCCCGCTTTTCCTTTTTGAGAAGTATTGGTTATAGTATTGGTCGCAGGGCTGACATGGAGGGTCACGCAATCACCAGCACTCTCACCTGAGGACCATCAGGATTAAAGCCCATG